TAACCCCCTACCCATTGACCCCTACCCCCCTAACCCCTAACCCTAACCCTGAACCCGAACCCTGAACCCGAACTCTAACCCCGAACCCCCGAAACCCTAAACCTGAAACCCTAAACCGCTAACTCGTGAACCCCTCAACCCGTGAACCCCTGAACCCCCGAACCCACGAACCCCCGAACCCCAAACTCCGAAACCCGAACCCCGAAACCCTAAACCAGAAACCCAAAACCCAAATCCCTAAACCCGAAACTCGAAACCCGAAATCCTAAACCCTAAACCCGAAACCCGAAACCTGAAACCCGAAACCCGAACCCCTAAACCCTACCCCCTAATCCCTACCCCCTCAACCCTAACCCCCTACCCGCTAACCCCCTACCCGCTAACCCCCTACCACTAACCCTAACCCCTAACCCAGAACCCCGAACCCCAAACCCCAAAAACCAAAAACCAAAAACCAAACCCCAAAACCAAAAAACCCAAACCAAAAAAAAATAAAACAATAAAAAAAAAAAAGTTAAAAAGAATAAAACAAAATATAAAACAAAAAAACAAAAAAAAACCCACAAAAAACCACAAAAAAAAACAACACAAAAACAACAAAAAAAATAAAATTATAAAACACAAAAAACCTTAAAACCACTAAAACCCTAAAAAAACCAAAAAACCACAAAAACCAAAACCCTAAAACCCAAAACCCCTAAAAACCCAAAACCCTTAAACCCTACACCCCTAAAAACCCTAACCCCTAAACCCAAAACCCTAAACCCTAAAACCCTAAACCCAAAACCCAAAAACCCAAAACCCCAAAACCCTAAAATCCTAAAACCCTAAATCCTAAACCCCAACCCCGAACCCCAAACCCTACAAGTATGCTCGAGTAGTCTCGCAATTTTGGCTAAGGAACATGTTTCCTACCACACAAGGACAAGGCAAACACCATCACCCCCAAACAAAAAAGGTTCAATACCCGAGCACTCCCTTTTTGCACACAAGACCAAAGGGAGTTGTTATCTTGAC